TTCCCTCCTGCGCATCCTCCCGGCTCTTTCCCGCACTGCCCCACATCTGTCCCCACCCTTCGCATCCTGCCCCCCAACTCTTGAACCCCTCCTGCACTCCCCACATTCCTCCCCTGCATCCTCCCGCATCCTTCCTGCATCACCCGCACTCTTCCCTTGCCTTCCATCTCCATCCCCTCCTGCTCTGGGCCTGGGGGGGGGGATCGAAGGACCTCCCCCAGTCTGAGCCAGGCTGCCCCAGTCTGGGTTTTGGAAGCATCCCCGCACCCCGCCATGCCACAGGGATGCTCCTTGGGGAGGGGGGGAGATGGAATTGGGGTGGTTGGGGGTCAAGCAGCAGAGAAAAGAGGACAAGACTCTTCCCTGCTGCAGGGGGATCCCAGTTCCCAGCTGCTGGGGAAACTGAGGCACGGGGAAAGCCTCGGCAGCCAGGAGATCAGCGCCGATGTGGCCACCAGCTTCACGCCTGCCCTGTGTCATTGTGTCTCACCTTGCTGAGCACATGGGCTGGGGCTGACTCTGTCCTGGGGCAGGCTCAAACGCTCTTTGCAAGGAGGGTGCGTGTTTATGGGCAACACAATATTCCCCAGCTTGGAGGGAACCTGGAGAGTGAATGGGACAAGGGACCAAATCCCACGGAGCCGCGGTCGTGGTGAACCCCAAAGCACCAGGGAAAAGCAAACCACTCCAGTGCTGAGAGGCCCATGGTGACACGCACTTCCACGTGCCAAATCCAACACAGGGAGGCTGTAATGCCCCCCCGACGTGTCCCCAGACCACTTTGGCCAGAGGACCCAGAAAGGAGAAGGGACCAGGGCTGTGATGGAGCTTCAGGTCCCCATCCCTCTGGAACAGCCTTGAGGCTTCATACCCCACATCAGAGCTGGCTCACGTCGGGGGAATGCTCTCCGGGGGCTTTCCCCGGTCCCCTGAGCCTTCAGCCTCGCCGAGGAGCCTCCGCTCTTTTTCCCAGCCCTCCTCCCCCTCTGCCGGCCCCGGTGGCTCCGGCCCAGGGCAGAACAATGTGGCCGGTCCAAGCCTCCGTGCGGCCCCATTTCTCAGCCAACCCTTCGCCAAGTGGGAAATCCGGGGCAGAGTAACCTAGTTTCTGTGCTTACAAGGAGCTTTCTGTCCTGGCCAAGCAAGGTGGCAGGGACAGAGCTGCCCTCCCGGGGCTTGGTGTCCCAACGGGCTGATGGTGGCACCGGGGGAGGCAGGTAAGGAGGTCCCAGCAGGGCAGGATGCTCCTCAGCCTTGTCTGGAGTGGGATATCGGGGTACCTCAGATGGGGCTATGGTCTTGGGGGGCACCCCAAGGCTTTGGCTTCGGTGGGTTTCTCGCCCACAGTCATCCCAGAGCAGCCTGGGGTGGAGCCTGCAGGGAGCCCGGCTGTGGGACAGCTATGGGCTGTTTGTGGGGACGATGCTCGGTCCCATGGGGCTGTTTGTGGGGGCAATGCTCAGCCCTATGGGGTTCTTTGTGGGGGTGATGCTCGGCCCCAGGGGGTTGTTTGTGGGGAGCGATGTTCAGCCCTATTGGGCTGTTTGTGGGGGCGATGCTGAGCCCCACAGGGTTGTTTGTAGGGGCTGACATTCAGCCCCATTGGGCTGTTTGTGGGGGCGATATTTCGCCCCAGGGGACTGTTTGTGGGGGCTGATGCTCAGCCCCATGAGGTTGTTTGTGGGGGCGATGCTCAGCCCCATGGTGTTGGTTGTGGGGGGCGATGTTCGGCCTCAGGGGGCTGTTAGTGGGGGGCGATGCTGAGCCCCACAGGGTTGTTTGTAGGGGCTGATGCTCAGCCCCATGGGACTGTTCGCGGAGGGCGTTGCTCAGACCCACTGTCAGTCCTCATAGTCAGCAGGAGAAACGACGTGTCTTTGCTCTCACCCTAAAGAATTCCCCAAAGCCAGGAAAGGAACCCAGGCTTCTGGGCACCCCGTTTGCCGCCACGTACCCGCCTTGGGCACCCCAGACGGAGGAGCAGAGCATCCCGGTTCCCATTCCGGCTCCCTCCGCCAGGCTTCGCTGCCTTCCCGGCAGGGACGCGAGGCAGGCAAGGCGGGAGCAGGCGTCCGCTGCCCCAACCTGCTGAGGCTCGTCCTCTTCCAGCAGGACTTTCTGGTTCCCGCAGTCCCCGGCGGGGCCACGCTGGGCTGGGCCGGGCCACAGTGAGCCCCG